AACTGAAATTCCTTCTTCCCGTAGACGACGCCTTCCTCCTGAACTCTACCCTTGCCGATGCCTTCGACAACTTTCGCTTCTTGTCTGATCGGCAGTAGCAACGGGAGCTCGCTATTTAGGTAACTTTCTCCCTTTCGTTCACTTCTTCGGCCAAATCCAGGTAAAATAGAGGGTTTAATGTGCTTTTAATAGGATTTATCATAAATCTTGCTCAATCCTGTATAAATCCTGATGCAAAATTTATATAAATCCTATCCAAATCTTGCATTAATCCTATTTAATAGGATTTAATTGAATCCTGCCTAGATGATGCATAAATCCTATATCAAAATCCTGCTGTTTGACGGGTTTAGCTCAGATCTTGCATAAGTCATGTTAATCCTTATCAAATATTGTACAAATCATATATAGTTTCTTTTAAATTTTAGCTAATTATTTTTAATTATAATTAATAATAATTATTATTAAATTTAATTATAATTAATTATAAATAAATATTTAATTATATTTAATCATTATTAATAATAATTAGTTTTAATATTAATTATATTTAATTTTAATTAATTATAAAAAAAGAGAATGCTCCTCTCACCTCGATCTATGAGCCAACACTATCGTCACCAACCATCGCGAATGTATAATGCTCTCTAAACTTAAGAAAACCTATTTTGGTGCTTGCAACGTGACGAACAATCACCTATGCACGCTTTTCTTTAGCGTGGTAAGAGGGAATTCATTGCGATGCTTGCGACAAGGTGGACAATCTACTAAAACCTCGTTTCAAATGTTAGCAGCACACCGAATAAAACCAACCCATGCACGCTTTTTTCTAGCGTGGTGGGAAGGGAACCCGGTGTGACGCTTACGGCTAGTCGGGACATATATAAAACTGTGCATTTCAAACAGGTGCCTGAAAACCCATGCACGCCTTTCTCTGGCGTGGTCGGGGACGAAGACTTTTGGCCTCGGTGTCATTCGACACTACTCCTGCACGCTTTCCTCTAGCGTGGCGAGAGGCCCAGTTTTTTATAGTTTCTCCTAAATCGGGGAGACGCTGGGAGGCTGCTGAAATTCCGCCTAAGGATGCGTAAAACTTGGACAAACAGGGACCTCAATTTGAACTCAAAAGAACAAAATAATGTACTTCATTTAGATTCAATTCAAGCTTCAAACAAGTTAAATGCAAACCTGAGTAACTAAAACTAAAGGCTTAAATTAAACTCAAATCAAACTTGATAAATACTAGATTTAACTAAACAAGACTATTTGAGACATGAACTTGCAAGCATTTGACTCAAATCCGAGTGAACTCAATGTAACTACATGGGACATTGAACTTGAACCTGATGAGGAAACTTGAAAAAGTTGATTTGAATGAAAAGAACAACAAGGGACCTAAGTGAACTGCAATCGACTTGGGTTTGTACATTGAACTAGACTTGGACTCAAATGAAACAAAATTGAACATTAACTCGAGCTCGATTTGGACAACAAATACTTGAATTTTAATAAGGAACTTGAATAAATGAAAGGAGCAAGATCTTGGTTTAAGTAGTGATATGAAAACTCCAATGGAGTGATAAGGAGTTATCACTTCAATTTGGATGCAAACCCTAGTTAAGAAAGGTCTAAATCATTTAAATCTTATGCAAGTAAACAATAACTTGTAGTGGACAATGAAGTTGCAAATACAACTTGCTTACAAGTGATGACGAAACTCAAGCATTTGAGTGATTCAGAATAATTGCCATGGTTACAAAGACATGAATATACTAATTCTCTTGCAAGCAACAATAGTGGATGAGTTGCAAATGCGAAGAATTCCTTTTTAGATGTAAAAAGGGGAATTGTCATGCATATGATGTTCTACCTATGAATAAAATGCAAACATCCATGAGTGACAATGGATTACTCATTAAATACATAAGGGTTTGCATACAAATCAAAGTAGCAAATTCATGGTGAATATGGCTTATGCGCAAACAGAAAGGAAATTAACTTGCAATGCATGCGATGATGTGACTATATCAACCTCCAAATGAATATCATACACGTCAGATAAAAAAAATAGTGGTCGACGCACAAGTCCCTCACAGATGAAGGAGGCTGATGTGTAACAAGCATTATGACATCTTGCTAGCCAACATTTACAAACAGTAGAGGGATTCAACATACGACAAATCGTTGATGAAAGGTGTATTCGAAAGGTCAAAGCAAACATAATTATCATGCAACCAACGTCACTTGATTTTGATGTGTATGGAATTTACAAGAGTCATGTAAGAGGATGTGAAAGTCCCTTACAATCAATATCAACCACTCGTGGAAGAATGTAACAGTTCTCTGTGAACAATGAGGGCTAACATGCAATGGTTATGATGATTCCTTTATACGAATGCATCATACTGTCCACAAACAATAAAGACAAGTATACAACAAGAACTCTAGCCCCCCCTCCTGCAAATAATGGTGGAGAATAGGTTACATATGCAAGCTCCCACGAACTGCTACGAAAGATCGGCAGAAGCAGATGGTTTGTAGCAAATTTAAATACCTACGAACCATCGTAGGAAGCCTCTAATGTAAAGTATTATCTATGAACCATCGCAGAAGCTCATGATGAATGCAACATCTACAAGAAAAAGCAGGAGATTCGTTAGTGCACTACAACCCGACTGCAGAAAGCAACAAGCAGTGCATGACAGCCTACCTGTACAAAGCAGCAAATAACTCAATTCATAAGCTACTACAACACGCCACCAAATCCGCAACATTCATGCAAGCAAACAGAAGACATGTACGAGCTTCCAAGTATATCATCACATTCAAATGATCAATGATACACATTCAAAAATGCCCCGCACATGCACCGTAATTTGCATACACATAGGTACACAAAGGGGTAAATGCAATTATAAAACTTGCATAGGCCCCGACGAACATGTTATAAGTAAACACGTGACGTCTAGGAAAACTGTGCGGGTCAATAAGTGAATTCAAGTTCGAACCTGATCCTTCTATGCAGATCAATAGGATTCGACTAAGGTTCGAACCATCAAATAAATATACGGTGGTGGCGACTTGTATATTTCTCTTAATACATTGATATTAGGCATTCAAGACCTATAACAATGAGAATTCACTAATAAAGGTACAAAGCCTATGATGAACCCGATCTTCTGTCGACAACTCGACAAAGTTGACAAAGTTTAATCAATGAATAATCTCATACACCCCGATGATGGCCGTTTTGAATGCTTACCTCAAAAGGAGGGTTCCATTTCAAATATTTCAATAATGTAACCCATAATCCAAACTCCAAAAAATTTCTAAAATCCAAAATATTTAAAAATGAAAATTAATCCATCAAACTATTTAAAGCAAAATTCATCTATCTTCCGCAACAGTTTGCCGAGGTGGACAAATTCGAATATAATTTCAGCTCACACAGAGCTAAATGCATGGTCGAAAATATTACTAGGATCTATTCTCAAACAATCTCTTGCCTATAAGGACGTGATACGTGTCTTATAAATGACGTTTTTGCCTCTAAATGGCACCGTATGATAAACGGTTATGACCCGGGGCCCTCTGATTCAAGTAGTTTTTCCACCAAATGACACCACGAGATAGCGGTTACGGCCAGAGCCAATACGTTCCTTAGTGGCATCAAATCCTTGAGACATAAATCAATAGAATATGATCGATAGGGCACAAAGCTTTCTGTTAGCTAAGGTGGATTCAAATTTGTCCCCTTAGACAAACATCCAACTAGGTTTACAAGGTGCCCTTGAACGAAGCAACCCATGGCTGCCGATGAGGATCCTTCTGTCAAGTTGGGTCGACTACCTCTTCTGACTAAGTAGACCAGGAACCACGATAGCCTGGGACGATGGAACTATGGGATCTTGATCGGGTTCATCATCCATTCCCCTACCATCCGCTAAAGGGGTGAAATTTCTATTTTAAATATCAAACTTTTCAAATTCTCAACTTCAAACCTAATTCCCAAATCCAAACCTGTGCTGCTACTATACGTCTGCTACTACGTATCTATGGATACAACATATCTGATTGACGACTAGCCTTAATCGAAAGTTCTCTCTTGTTATCGGGAGGGGTAATTAACTTTAAGGGCTCGCGCCTATAGGAAACCATAACTCAGATCATAAAGTCATCGCAAAATGAGGGCTAAGTATCTGGGTAGTGTCTTATCTGCAAACCCATATGCCTTCCCAAAATTTACCCTGGAACTTAATTCCATTAAAACTCCCTCTGACAGAGAAAGCAAGCTGATGGAGGCCGGAGCCGAATTTTTGGAGCCCACATATGAACAAATGGGTTGCCTTCTATCTTATCTATCTCAGACAGAACATACCGATTTATGTTCTCAAAACATGCCAACTGGAATTTGTTCAATTTGTTCGGTTTGGGTTTCCTGAAATGAAATTCAGAGTTCACTCTTAATTATGGATTAAAATGGAGTGCCCTGATCCGTTATCTTAATTCTAGATCCAATCTACAACCCATACCCTTTATTTTGATTATGGATTAATTTAGTGGTTCTAGTTCAAAATCCATATTCTGGACTTTGGAGTGAATTACAGAAGCCTGAAGCAAGTGATTTGATTTCTTAGTCTGTGCTGTACCCAAATTCATATAAAAAAGTGAATTAATATTGGGCTGAACTTAACTGTCCAAATAGTGTAGTATACCTCAGCTAGCTGGTTTCAATGCGTTTATATACTCTCCTATTTTCAGGCCTTCTAAAACTTTTAGGTTTTTTGTAATAGTTACTTTAAATTTGTATATATTTAACAATTTTATGATGTCTTTCTCTATTACTTTTTTGTAACTAGTTTCTAACTAGTAGTCTATGTATGCATTTGGTTATATGTAATTATTGTTACTTGGTTTCACCGTATACTCTTTTCTATATACACTGAAACTATATAATATCTTTAGTATTACTTACATAAGGTTCACGGCTTATTTGGTAGAAAGAAGAGGTAGGTTTTGAACATCAAGACGCGTCGATGCCCAATGTTCCTGCTCCAGAGACCGTATGCAACCTAACTTTATACCACTTTTATTTAGCTCTGATGCCAATATTCCTGCTCCATTACGTAGTGCATTCTCATGCAGTTACCATCAATGGAAGAGCTACGAGAGAAACGGCTCACTGATCCTCGTCTTCCCATGTAACTTTCATGCCAGCTAATTAGTTTTGTTGTGAAGCTTCTTATTTTCTACTTTAACTTTTTTGCATCTTTGAGCAAGTGCTTGACTCCTGGTCATTGATGGTTCAAAAATAAGACCATATGTTTGAACTTTGTGATATAATGTTTGATTCAAATGTGTAACACCCTTTTAGAGCTCTTAGTTTTATCCATTTGTGCTATAGATTAATAAGTTCTCTAATGCCTTAAAATTATCACTGATGCTCTCAGTGCTATTTCATTCCGAACATACCGCTACATAGGAATGGAGAGGGAATTGCGCAATGAGGAGAAGCTGGGCTTCGTGGGCTAAACCTGCTGTGTGGAGTGGCTAGAGAAGAGAGCTGAGTATGAGCTGCAGGTCTTGGGATTGCGAGCTGCTGTACTTGCGATATGGTGAGGAAGGGAGGGAGCTGAAGGCTGGTTCTTTCGGGCATAGTGGTGAAATTGTAGGAAGCAGAAGCGGGTATATGAGGAAAATGTTTGGCAGTTTGGCCGAGAAAAGAGGGAAGTGAATGAGAGAATGGGAATGAGGCCGAGGGACTTTAGGTAGGGACTCTGTCTTTTTATATGTATATTGTATTTATGAAGAATGGCTGAGTGCAATATTTAGGTGGCTCTGCCGGCATTTGAGCAGGATTTTGGCAGGTGATGAGGTAGGGAGTGGCACAAGAGGATTTAAATAATGATTTTTTTTTTAAATATAAACATATATATCTATACAATTAATTAATGTATATTTAAATTGAATGAAATATAATGTGATAAAATTAATACTATCATTCTTCATTTAGAATGGAACTATACATTTACTTCTGAGTTTTACACGAAGCTGTCATCGGAGATGGATGTAAGAGGATAGTAAAATACTATATTATGGTGATGTGGCAAGTTATAAATATGCTACTGTATTTTATCTTTTATGCCAGCGTAAATACTTAAATATATGGTGCGTCAAACCACCTTCATCATATGCAATATATCTTTTGTATGCACATTTGGTGTCTCTTTCAGGAATTACCTTTGATGTCATTCTTTACTTTTTTAAGAACTATTTTCTTAATCTGGTTTAAATCTTCTTGCTCCATCTTTTTATTGAGAGATGATGCATTAGAACTTCTTTTAGTGAACTTTCGAACTTCTACGTCTATGAATAAGTGCAGGATTGGAAAATTTAATTTTTCTGTTATTTAAATTGTTATTTCTTGTTTCTTTTATGTTGAAAGTCCTAAACAAAAGCATGGGCTTAGGCTTATTGAATCAGTTAAATTTATTGTGGACATAAATCGTTTTGTTAGCAGGGAGAGAATAGTTAGTTTACATTGATATTGAATTATTGATGAATCCTCTTTCTTTTCTTTTGATTTCAAAAGCTCACGCTTTAGTGTATCAGCCTAATTGTTATTTTTGGCAGACACTACCGAAATGATGTTGCTAGAAGAAAATTTGTTCCTTGGCCTATCGAGCTAAGATTTTGTGCATCAAACTCCGCAAGACAAACGAAAACAAGGTCAAATCTCGTACCTCTTGTTCTCAGTTTTATTAGTAGGTAGTTCATGATGTCATTTCTTTGCTTTGTATAACTTCCTCATTAATGTCTGTATTGGTTTAGATTGAACTATTGGTTTAGAGCAAGAGGGAAACTTTCAGATGATCAAGCTTTGCATAGGTATGCTTTTTGAGTTTATATTTTATTTATTTATTTATTTTTAACTATTTTGTCTCTTAATAGGACACAATGGAGAAAAAAGATTCATATAGTCGATCCCACGTAGTGGGAAAAAGGCTTGATGTTATTGTTATGTTATTTTTAACTCTGGCCCATCCCCTGATCATCAGTATTGTTAAGACTATAGAACCCTAGTTGGAAACTTTCCTGATAAGATACTTTATATGTTTCTAATGGTCTTCATGTATCATAATAATCTTGCGTTTGAACCTGGTGGCCCGTTGTTAATAGTTTGACTCTTGCACTGATGGGCATCTTAAATATTTTATCCTGTGGTATAAGGTTGAATTTGATATGATTCAAGGTCAGAGGATGACGGACAGAGAAAGGTATAACATAATTTGGAGAGACGGGTTGGTGAAATAAAGATAATGATTACTTGGAGAGGCCTCCAACTTCAGGGACTTGGATCCACTTTTGCATCATATTGAGGGCTCTTAAAGTGTAGAGCCTTGGGAGTGCAAAATTCAGCGCCAGTAGCAACTGATCTACAACCTTACATTTTTACCTTAAACTGATTTATTCTCTTAACTTGTCTTTTGATGGCATTTAACTGGTATGGAGTCATGGTTCTATCGAGTGGCTAAGTATCATTGTGCTCGAGATAGGCCATACCTTGTAATGGACTGATGGCTAGAGTTTCCTTTGCCAATACCTGGTGGTGTGATGTAGACAAAAGGGGAGTCAACTCAAGCCCAAAATAATTTGATTTTTGGGCTGATGGCTAGAGTTTCCTTTGCCAATACCTGGTGGTGTGATGTAGACAAAAGGGGAGTCAACTCAAGCCCAAAATAATTTGATTTTTGGCTTCCCTCGAGTTTACAAGCTCAATCAAATTTTAGCTGGAATTTAGCTCATTTATGAGCTGATCTTTAGTTCATTTATTGAACTAAGGATTAGCTCATTATTAGCTAAGTTTTAGTTCATAGTTATCTTTAATTAAATGTAATTTTATGTCTTTAATTAAGTTTGTCTCTTGGAATTCCAAAATGGCTTTTGGAATTCTAAGAGGTTTGTTTCCCATGCCATGGCTCCTTAGCTTCCACAGTGGGCTGCTGTTTTCCGTGCATGGCCCCTTGGTTTTCACGGTGGCTGTTGGTTTTCCGAGCTAGGGGGGTTTTCCCATGGCTTTGGCGCCTCGGTTTCGTGCGGCTCCTTTGGTTCCCGTGGTTGCTCCTTTGGTTCCTGGGCTGGGCTGTTTTTCCGTGAAAAGCATGGGGGGATTTTCGTGCTTGTGTTGCTTGGATTCTTGTGTGAATTCAATATCGTGTCCTTTTGTATTCCCCCTTTCATATCTATAAATATGAGGGGTTTGTTATGTTTAAAAAAAGTGAATGATAAGTTATTTTTGGAAGCTATAACCTGCGGGTTTGCTTGGAGAAGCTTGCGAGCTTTGTCCATCTTCTTTTCTCACCCCCTCCGGAAATCTTGCGAGCTCTTTCCACCCTTCTTCTCGGACTTCTAACCTCTTTCTTACCTCCGCAAGTTTACACCCCACATGTATCCTTCTTCTCTAAGTAAAGTAAGTTTAGAGTGTCTTTGATTTCGATTTGAGTTCGAAAGTCGTTTAATTACTATTTGTAGTTGTCGGTTTGTTTGTTTTAATTTCTAAGTCTGTCTTAGATTTGAAATTTAAGAGTTTGTTCTTCCGCTCGTCGTATTCTCCCCTTTTTGAGCGCGTCGTGTCGTTCCCTTTCCTCTTGTGCCGGCGGAGGTCTTCGGGTGCCCCATCCTCCGGATTTATTGGCCCGCATCATTTGGTATCAGAGAAAGTTAGGAAGTCCTAGGTTTTAGATTTGGTTGTCAAGTTTTGTTTTGTCAAGTCAAGTCTTGTCGTGAGTCGTATAGGAGAAGTTTTTTTGAGTCAGTTAAAAAAATGGAAAATAACAAAAAAATGGCTTCATTCGTGAAATAAATCAATCAAGATAATCCTGATGTCCCTCTTCCGTTGGACAGATGGATTCCTACAGAAGGCGATTCAACTGATCCACTTCAAGACTGTCTATACAAGCTTCAATATCACTTGTTCTTATGTGATCAAAAATTCGAGAAGTGGAAGAGATATCTAAAAAGGCAGTTCGAGAAAGAGCAGGAAGAAATTTTAAAGAAATTTGAAGATAAGATCAAAGAGCTGGATGCACAGTATTCACCTCCTCAAGAGAACCAAAAGCTAACTCATCGAGAGATGAGTTCTCAAGAAGGAGAGTCTGATGTAGACAAAGGAGGTGTCAACTCAAGCCCAAAATAATTTGATTTTTGGCTTCCCTCGAGTTTACAAGCTCCATCAAATTTGTGCTGGAATTTAGCTCATTTATGAGCTGGTCTTTAGTTCATTTATTGAACTAAGGGTTAGCTCATTATTAGCTAAGTTTTAGTTCATAGTTATCTTTAATTAAATGTAATTTTTATGTCTTTAATAAAGTTTGTCTCTTGGAATTCCAAGAAGTTTTGTTTCCCATGCCACGGCTCCTTGGCTTTCATGGTGGGCTGCTGTTTTCCGTGCATGGCCCCTTGGTTCTCACGGTGGCTGTTGGTTTTCCGAGCTGGGGGGGTTTTCCTGTGGCTTTGGCGCCTCGGTTCCGTGCGGCTCCTTTGGTTCCCGTGGTTGCTCCTTCGGTTCCTGGGCTAGACTGTTTTTCCATGAAAAGCATGGGGGGATTTCCGTGCTTGTGTTGCTTGGATTCTTGTGTGAATTCAATGTCGTGTCCTTTTGTATTCCCCCTTTCATACCTATAAATATGAGGGGTTTGTTATGTTTTAAAAAAGTAAATGATAAGTTATTTTTGGAAGCTATAACCTACGGGTTTGCTTGGAGAACCTTGCGAGCTTTGTCCATCTTCTTTTCTCATCCCCTCCGGAAATCTTGCGAGCTCTTTCCACCCTTTTTCTCGGGCTTCTAACCTCTTTCGTCTCTCTGCAAGTTTACACCCCACCTATATCCTTCTTCTCTAAGTAAAGTAAGCTTAGAGTGTCTTTGATTTCGATTTGAGTTTGAAAGTCGTTTAATTACTATTTGTAGTTGTCGGTTTGTTTGTTTTAATTTCTAAGTCTGTCTTAGATTTGAAATGTAAGAGTTTGTTCTTCCACTAGTCGTATTCTCCCCTTTTTTAGCGCGTCGTGTCATTTCCTTTCCTCTTGTGCCGGCGGAGGTCCTCGGGTGCCCCATCCCCCGGATTTATTGGCCCGCATCATGGTGACTGGATGCACTCCTCGGTAACACCCAACAACGAACATCTGAAGGGACACTAACTAGTTGGTTAAGAAAATAGCCTCTTTTCTTGCAAAAATAATCCCTTTTAAGCTCCTTTACAAGAAATCTAAACCTAAAATTGAGGCACATCTTCTCTCTTATTCTTCCTCTTCACTCGTTGATTGTTCAACATATGTCTAATAGTTAATTCTACTAAGGGTTGATTTTAGTTGATGACTATAGGCGTGAAAATAGGACAAATTAAAATCAGTTTTCTTTAACCAAATTTAATTCATTTATGTAGGATGCTGAGAAAATAGCAATCCCCTTTTCTATCGAGGAGAAGATGAAAAAAGTTTTTTGGCAATTTAAAATTGCATGATATACTTCTATTTATGGAGAAAGTTTTGTGTAAACTTCTCAAAAGTATCATATTTCTAGAGAGATCTTACAAAGCAAATGCATCTAGCTAACACCACACCTGTTCTGTCCAAAAATTCTAATTAGGGGAAGGCTTAAGAGCATCAAAATGTCACACCCCCATTTTGAGCCCCTCCGGTTAACCAGAAGGCTTAATAGAGGCAAACAATCTAGTCAGATACACTTTTTACAAATACCATCCTAATTTTATTAATTAGGATTGAAAGAGTGAAAATTTGTCTGTCTTGATCGACACAAAAGATAATTTCGCTTCACAATCATTTAATAGATCCATCATATGCATTGAATCGGAAGTGTGTACAAGTAAAATCATCAAATGACTGAGCTAGTGAGCTTATAAATAAACTTTAAATATAAATTCATATGTACAATGCAATACACATCTTTTTTTTTATACCGTATCCAAAATTGTACACCCAGAAAGCTATTGTATAGGGTAACTTGATCATCTTTCTACTACTCTGCTTTCTCCTTTCATTTCCCTATAATCACAATTATAATATATGATAAGCTCAAAGCTCAGTGGAATATGCATTTTAATTTAAAATTCAAACATGAAAGAAAAACATATAACATGTTATGTCGATCCTATGAACTAATATAAGTATTTATCTTCATAAATACAACTAGCATAATACAACACTTTTAGATCAAGACATGTTTTGATGATTTTGTGAGTAAAAGACTTGATTATAAACAATGAGCGTGAATATTTATAAAGTAGGGAAGCATATCTATAAAGTGTCAAATAGTTTATTGCACTATTCAAATTAATTGCTTCTATGTAATTACTTTTTTTTTCTTCTCATTTTATACTAATCATTTCTTAAAAATGGAATTAAAAATGTCATATAATATTGTGCATTTAAGACCATATTAGATTTTTGTTTAACTTATAATTTTTCAATTGCTAATATCTTATTTAAGAAAATGTTGTGCATCTCATCACTTATAAAAATGGATATAGTACAACCCAGATTGACTATTTTCTTATGAGAAAATTAGATCATTTAGATTGCAAAGATTGTAAAGTTATTCCGAATGAAAATTTATGTACCCAACATCGATTATTAGTTTTGGACTTTAAGATAAAGGGGAAGATAATACAAAATAAAGTAAAACGATGTTCTAGGATTAGATGGGGCATTTAAAGAATATTAACAAAAATATTTTTGAGAGTAAGATTTTAGATCTTAAGATTTTATCTGTGCATGAGGATGCTAATATTATGTGCGAAAAAGTGGCTAGTGATATTAAAACTATTGCAAAAGATTTGTTTGGAGTATCAAAGGGAGAAAGCTCCTAATAG